CCTTTTTTTTTTTCATTTTTTTAAATGTTTGTTTTTTGAGAGACAGTGCAAGCAGGGAAGTGCACAGATAAAGAGGGAGACACTGAATCCAAAGCAGGCTCCAGGCTCTGAGCTGTCAGCACAGAGCCTGATGCAGGGCTCGAACCCATGAACCTTGAGATCATAGTTGAGTTGAGGTCAGACGCTTAACCAACTGAGCCACCCAGGCACCCCTCTCAGCCTTAACTTTACAAAGCAACTTCTCATCTCCATTATGTTCCCTCAGGGTTCTGGTTTCTGCATTCTTCCTAGTAAACTTTCTCCCTTGACTACCTCATCTATTTCCTGTCTTTGTATCAGTGACTACATCTTTAACTTTTACCTTTTCCCCTTTTGATATCAAAAGAATGTATCTTCAGTCCAATTCCCCTAGATGTTTCATTTCCTCCTCCCCACGCCTCTGCTCCCAAAACCAAGCCAACCTTGGAGTCATCCTAGATTCCTCCTTCCCACTCACTTCCAATCAACCATCAACTTTACCTCCTGAAGTGCTCTTAAATCCCGTTTCTCATTCTACACTACCAAACAACCTGCTAGAAGGTCCCTCTTCCTTCCTATCTCATGCTAACTCCTTAGAAAAGCCTTTCATGACTTAGTTATTACCAAGCCACTATCGTAACACCCCATTTTAACTCTTACTTTATGTATTTATTGTGTCTCAATAAAAATGTAAGTTCAATGAAAACAAAGACCTTATCTCCTTTATTCAATACTACTCCATTCTCTGCCTACACCTGTGAGGTCAGTACTAAAATCCTGAATGAATTAATCAGTGAATTTGTCTCACCACCCAATCTAGTCTCCATCATTCACACTGCTTTAAAAGAAGATGCATGTGAAATATTGTTCCCCTCCTCCCGCCTCCATCTGCCTGACAAGACTCAGCCTATGTTTAAAATCTTGTTAAAGTTATCATAGCCCCTTCCACAGGAAATAAAAAGCCACAATTATTTGTTTTCATATTTTACTTCCTCACAAGATACCGAAGCCTTAGTTTTCCTTGAATCTTTGGTATATGATAGTCTGAGACAATAAATACGTTAGAAAAAGGTGAAGAACAAAACTTCATATAGGGAAGAAGAAACTTATTTTTTATTATTATTTTTTTAATGTTGATTTTTGAAAGAGAGAGCTTGAGCGGTGGAGGGGCAGAGAGAGAGAGAGACACAGAATCAGAAGCTGGCTCCAGGCTCTGAGCTGTCAGTACAGATCCCAACGTGGGGCTCGCACTCACAAACTGTGAGATCATGACCTGAAGTAGGACGCCCAACCTACTGAGCCACCCAGGCGCCCCACTTACTACATTAATTAAAAGCACAGACTGTACCTCCCACTCAAGTGTCACACAGTCTCATTTTATGCAACAATGTTGCTAATACTAGAATGAACAATACTTACACAGATATTACTGTGTATCAGGATTTATTATGGATATGTAACGTGTTAATTCACTTAATCCTCTCAAAAACCTCGAGTATACATTATTATCTATTTTACAAAGAAGAGTTGAAGTGTCATTAAAAGCAATGAAAACAGATGCATTTTGTTTCCTTTACTATTCATCTTAAGGGTGCTGTCACTAAAAAGAAACAGCTAGTTTTCGTAACTGAACGGTATAACCTACCCTTTAATAAAATGAAGGATTTGGAGAAAAGGGCCAACTCTAAACTTAAAAAAAAAGTAAGGTTTCATTATCTCTACCTTCCTCAATTCAACTAAAATAAAAATTATTTTAAGATCCCTGTGGTTAAGGGGCACCTGGGCAGCTCAGTAGGTTACGCACCAAACTTCAGCTCGGGTCAGGATCTGCTGATCCAACAGTTTGAGCCCTACATCAGTCTCTGTGCTGGTGTTGTGGAGCCTGCTTGGGATTCTTTCTCTTTCCCTCGGCACCTCCCTCACTTGCATTCTCTCAAAATAAATAAATTTGAAGGGAAAAAAAAGATTCCTGTGGTTAAACAATAACATTACCTTTCTCTTTCTCCCTCTTCTGGCAGCTTTTGGAGTGGTTATGTCAATTGCTTTAGTCACATCCTAAAATTGAAAAAATATATATACAGATGAAACTGAACAAATTATATCAAGACTTAAAGAAAATTTCTTAAACTAAAAATTACAGCATATTTCACTAAAGGCGCTAGGGAAACTTGTTTTGTTTCTCTGAAATTTGAAAGCAATATCATAAAAGTGAAAGTAATAGCCAGTGTCTTAAAAAAAAAAAACAAAAAAACAACACTTTCCTCTGTCAGATAAAATAGAGGTCATGCTTGCTAGTACACATGGAAGTTTGTCTTTTTAAATTTACAAAACGACTTTTTTCTACATTTTAGGGTTGTAAATTTTAAATGGCTGAGACTCTGGAGATCATCTAACAACCCACGAGACCTGAAAAGGCTCAGGTGAGCATCTCCCCTCAAAGATAATCAAATAGAGATGGAAGTAAACCTAGATTTAACAAAATTCAGTTCAATGCCTTTTCTAGTATCTCCCCATCCCACAATATCTTGAAAAAGATTCCTAATAAACAGTAACCCACTCTCTTATGGGTGGACCTCATATTTTGCACAGCAAAACAACTTCAAATAAATATATCCGTGCATCTTTTTTTTTTCCTTCTTTTTTGGAAGTAATCTCTGCTCCTGAACTCATGACCTCAAGATCAAGAGTTGCATGCTCTACCGACTGAGCCAGCCAGGCACCCCAACCATGGCCCCAGCCATGCACCATAAAGATGCAAAAATTATTTTACAATACAGTGTTTATATTCACACAAGGAACTAAGTTTTAAACACTTTCTCATTCAGTACTCAAATACTTTAAAGATTACTTTCTATTATGAGATCAAATGATCAACCCATTTTCCAATTTCTTCCCTGCAACAAAATGGGTTTAGAATGTAAGAGAAATTAAACATACCTCATTGCTGGCTTTTTCTTCATGGTCAGTATCTTCCTTTGAAACACTTGTTTCTTTTTCTTCAACTTCAACATCAGATGATGCATTCGATTGCTTAGTTGATGCCTATAAACGACCAGGTCTATTAACTTCACAAAGTACGATTTTACCCCATTTCAAAATTTTCTACCCATGAAAAAATTCAAAAGCCTATTTAGAAGTTATAAAAGTATCTTCATTTCTGTTCCACAAAATGCTTTTAACATATACAATTTTTTAAAAAGCTTTAAATTCTATTATTCCTTTAGAAAAGTATTATAAGGGGTTGTATTCCTATAACTGAGTGTAAAGGATAAAACAGGGAGGCAGAAATGGAAGTAACATTACAAAGACCATTCTAGTGTTCTAACCAATAAATATCCAACAAGATACAATGTAACGTGATTTAGAATAGCACAGACCTATACTGTATTCAACTACTGGCATATTCTAAAGAGAAACTTATCTTAGAGCCTTAGCAAAGGACATACAAGAGCTTTCTTGAAAGACTTTGATCTATATCTCATATTTAGTTTATTTAAAATTCAGACTCTTGAGACGGGATTCTGATTTAATAGGAGGTACTGAATGGGAGTCCAATCATCATTTTTTTTTTTTTTTTCAAATTCATGAACCATAATTCAATCAGGCCAGCGATTCCTCTGGGCTCGGGGCAGCGGTGAGAACATACCCCCAGATGACAAGATACTTACACAGAAGATCTACTAGGGGCCTAAAAAGATGAGTAACAGAGATAAACACAGTACACACTGGGAGGTGAGGGTAAGCACAGGTCTATACGACGACAGCACTGCAGTCTAAACTGTGCCCCTTTCTAATGGTTTCCTTTTCAAGCCTAAACTTTTTTGCCTCTTTTATAAAAAAGGCAATGCTGATAACCCACAAAATGATAAAGTTACAACAAGAAATATAAAAGCATCCCCCCAAATTACTTCTAGCACTACAAATTTTTGTAAATCATGATGGCCAACTTTTCTATTATGTTATGTTTGAGGTTCACTGCTTTCTCCATATCCTAGGTATGTGCCACTGGGGACCTATCTGGGCCAGAAACACAGAGTATACCACATCAGCACAATCATTCATACTTTTGTTAAGGACAGTACATTGCTAGGTTTCATGCACACAAACCACCAAAAATTTCATTGTGAAATGGAAAATCCTGAATATAGATGGTGAAAACCACCCGGAGATTAAGTAGGTACATAGGAACATAGGATAGGGTGACCATGCTGGGCTATCTGGAGGATGAAGAAGTCCTTGAAGGTACAATCACAATCACAGGACACATGATCCAAGTGAAGTTACAAACCGTCAGTTTCAGGAAATAATCAATTCAGTGTCTTTGGACTCCCATTATACAGCTGAGGCAACAATGATGGGAAACCATCCAGTCTTACATTCATGGAACAGTATTTAGTGAATAGTTATTCTTGCCATGCATATGACAACGCCAGGCACATAGGACAACTTCTTTGTTCATGGAGCTAATAACCCGTGGCAGTTAAGTACAAAAGCAAACATAGTATGGTATGATTAACAAATAAATTTGGGTGATAATGAAGGTACTCAGGATCATCTAACACACTCTTGGAGCACCATTGTAAGATTTAAAACCTTCCAGACAGAATAGCACCTGAAAAGTTCTCTAAAGGTAAGAAGCAGCATGGCACATGCTACTTTTTGCTACTATCTCTTAGTTCTTACTACCTCAGTCTTATTATTTATTTTTTTAAAGTAAGCTCTACATACAATGTGGGGTTTGAACTCGTGACCGCAAGATCAAAAGTCGCATGCTCTACTGACTACCAGCCAGATGCCCCTTTCTCAATCTAATTTAAATGAACAAAACCTCTGGATACACGAAAAACAGATTAAAAAGAAAGTTTAAGTCTGCTCTTCTAAACACCAAAAACATGAAGTATACTTTGCACAGTGCTATCAGTACTTCTGTCACATATTTAATTTAACCCATATGAGGTTTGTAGTCTAATACAATTTTATGGATTTAGGAATTAAAATGAGTAAGAAAAAGGGGCTCCTGGGTGGCTCAGTTGGTTAAGTGTCCGACTCTTGATTTCAGCTCAGGTCATGATCTCATGGTTTCGTGAGATCAAACCCTGCATTGTGCTCTGTGCTGCGAGCACAGAGCCTGCTTGGGATTCTGTCTCTCCCTCTCTCTCCCCTTCTCTCAAAATAAATAAAAATAAACTTTAAAAAAAATGAGTAAGAAAAAAATACACTCTTCAAGTTATACTACCTAAATTTCAGAGAACAGTACATATGGCTTTAAATTCGGTGACACATTAAGTAATCAATCAGAAGGACTTAAATAATTGACTATTTTCCAGTATTCTGTTTACCCATGAAGGTAACATTTTCATCAGTTCATCTAGATATGAACGGTCAAGATTCAACCTCACAAATAAGCACAATTTAATCTGAAATTTACAAGGCTTTTAATATTGATATTAAATATTACATATTATTTATAATATACATATTATATGTATATTTATAATATACATATTATATGTATATAAAATATACATATTACATATAAATATTACATATTATTATGTAATATGACGCACCTGTTGACTTGAAAATTTCACTTTCGGATTATTATCTATCTCCCATAAACCTTCATTAAAGCCTTTTCGTTTATTTGGTTTGCCGTACTTTTCCTTATTTTCTGAGTAAGGAAATATATCCTTTGGGCCTAAAAAAGCACTAAAAAAGGAGAGGGAGAAAAATGTGAGTGCAAAGCATTCTCAAATATGTAAGTTATTAAACAGTACTACCCTAGGATGCAATTCTAGACAATTCTTAACCCAAAATGCAGTAAAAATCTTACATAAATTAAAGGGCAGACACAAATGATTCATTAGATTTAAGTTCAAATACTTTTGTTAAATTCAATCATAAGCTCCTAGGATCCACAGTCCCGTATTAAAAAAAACACTCAAGTTGCACGATGTGAATGTACTTAATGCCACTGAACAATACACTTAAAAATGGTTACAACGGTAAATTTTATGTATAATTTATAATTTTAAAAAGCCCCAAAATGAAAAGAACTGTGATAAAATTGCATTATCACCCAAATACTAATTTCAATGTAATCTGGTACAAGGCACAATTCAAAATACTGTCAATGAGGTACATTTGTGTGTGTGTGTGTGTGTGTGTGTGTGTGTGTGTGTGTGTGTGTCGTGTGTACACGCAGGCTTTTGGAATAAAATACGGTAAGAATTTTACTTTATTCTGTGAAGGAAATCAGAGGTTATAGCTGGTTAATTTGTTCATTCATATACTCATTAAAGTCACTCTTTTATTTGCGGTAGTGTGTTCTACAAAGTCACCACACACAATTAATGAATAATGCACACCACTGCCCAAGGGAAAACACAGGGTAGGGTTCCTGTGAGCCTCTGGTCACCTTGTCACCAAGCAATACATAATCTGGTTTTTCACATGTTTCTGTTTAAAGATCTCTTAATATGTATTAGTGACTCACTAATAATGAACTCATAGCTTCAACTTCTACACCACAGATATTCTCCATATGGCACAAAACAGCCTTCTTACACTTAGGAACGCTAAATAGCACCTTGGCACCATATCTGGGGGCTATTCCAAACTGCATAATGACCAACAAAAAAAGCACAAAAATGCAAAAATTATAGCACTACAGAAAACTGCAAAAAGGACACTTGTTTACGGTAAGAGAGTGAAAACAAGAAGGCGGCAAAGTACTGCCATGGTCAGCCTCAGCTAGGAATGTGTGCATCAAACTACTCAAATTTTTTGCCGTTTTGCTTGCACATGAAGGCACCATGAGTACTGACTGATGTGGGATTACAAATATATTTTCAGTGAGCAGGCAAATTCACAAATATGGAGTCTGTGGATGATGAGAATAAACTGTGTGAGCACCTACTGGAGATGTTCTCCAGAACAGACCCCTTGTATCTCCCTCAGTCAGTCCCGCAGAAGTCTGTCAGTTCCATAAAGGAAGATGCACCAGTATGTGGGAGTTTTTTTGTTATGTTATTTGATGTGTATGTATTCTCCAAAGGAAGAGGAAAACCAGATACTATTCATTTCCTCTAAAATGTGCTACAATTTGGGGCGCCTGGGTGGCGCAGTCGGTTAAGCGTCCGACTTCAGCCAGGTCACGATCTCGCGGTCCGTGAGTTCGAGCCCCACCGTCGGGCTCTGGGCTGATGGCTCAGAGCCTGGAGCCTGTTTCCGATTCTGTGTCTCCCTCTCTCTCTGCCCCTCCCCCGTTCATGCTCTGTCTCTCTCTGTCCCAAAAATAAATAAAAACGTTGAAAAAATAAATAAATAAAAAAAATAAAATGTGCTACAATTTAATATATAAATTATTACGTACATGTCAAATTACTTACCTGGTGAAATTCTTTAAGAATTAGGGACCTAATGACTACAGGTATCACTCCAGTTAGAGTATTTTAAAAGGCTTTAGGATGATATTTTAATTAAAAAGAGACATGGAGCTCGATTTAAGTAAAGCCAGTGCATACAACAGTCAGCTTTATAATTTAAATTCTGTAATTTAGGAATATCCCTGTATACATGAATTTTTAACTACACACTGATTAAAGCACATTTAATAATTATCTCATTTGATCCAGAAATTCAGCCTTTTACTAGGAATCATGCATTCCTACCTATCTTCCCAAATTAGAAAAACACATTTAGTTAAAATAGTAAAACAATTCTTCCTACATGTTTCAAATTCCAAGTAAATAACTTGAGTTAAATCTCCATCACAAATATACTTCTATTTAGACCAAAGCAATTCAACACAAATTATCTCTCCTAAAACCTTACAAAAACAACCCATAAGGCCAAAGACGACAAGAAAGATAATACCATCAGAGTAGAAGATGGAAAGACAACTGAAAAGGCTGGATACTAAGTAGCAATGTACAAAGTCAGCATCATCCCTTACAGTTCAAAATGCCCAACGGGCTCAAAACTGGCATCAGGAACTTCCAAAAGTGGTAGGGACCTTAAATACTTAATAAAATTATAGAGAAATGTTTTAGAACTTCAAACATGGGGTATTTTAAGATGACTCTAAACCTAAAAGCTATTCAAAAGACAGATTCTACCATGATATTACTTACCATATAAACGTTTGACAATTAAATTTACCTGGATTATTTTTCTTTTCTCAAAACAAGCAGTCCTCACTTTGCATGACAACATAAGACTTAAAAAATGACCATGCAATGGGAAAAATTATGATTGTTCCATAACTTTTAAAAATTGTCAAAACATTAAACACTATTTCTGACAGTGAAAAGACATGAAATAAAAAAAATAGTAAAACTAGTACTTAGGGTACATTGTAATTGAAAACATTAGAAAAAAAACTAAGTTAAAATAATTTGAATGGTTCTTGCCTTCTTCTGATCACATAACTTATGTGTAGAGTGAGCATATTTTCTATGCCTTGGCGAACTGTCATACTCCTTTCTAAGCCTGATCAGCTTCCAACATTTTATCCTTTGCACTTTCAATGTTGTGAAATATCTTTAATGTTTTTTGTTGGCATCATTTCCTCTGAGACATCTTTATCCCTTTTATTACAACCACTTTCCTCATTTATGTTGATAAGCTTGCCTTCACAAATTCCTCTGGCTGCATATCCAGTCTCTCCAAATGCAGCATGTCTACATTCGAAGGTTAGCGATTTCTGCTGTTAACTCGATTTACATTCAGTTCAAATTTCACTTCTAGTGTTACTGTTTCTCTGCTACACTTTCATCTATGTTGGCTAATTCCCGATTTGGTTCTGTAAGTGTAACTGGGCAAGTAGATCACTGAGAGACAGAGGCAACCCCACCCACCACTAAACACTGTGCCATCTACGCGTGAATTGAAAAACAGATGCACAGTGACCAATCACCAAGAGTCTTTTGAAAAAAGGGACATGCTATGCATTTGTCATTTACATTTTGACTTGTGGACTGAAGAGCTAGCGGCAAATTTTGTAGTTTATGCAATTAGTTAATATTCTAGGGTATGTGAAATCTGAACAATGTTGCTGGGGGAACTGGTGTTAAATCATGGTAGCCAAAATTCATGTGTACTGTGCTTATATGCTTCTCTCCTCCTCATGCTCTGACTTTAAAATTCTACTTACAGTAGACAGTATATACACTGCCATTCTTGCTCCCTGTGACATTATATTGTTTATTTGGTCATGTCTTGTTTAAGCCTTGTCTCACAAAATAAGACATAGCTAAGATCATTAATTAATCCAATCTGAAAGTCTTAACAGAATTCTATTCATACAATGTAATAATTTATATTTGTTCTAATTCACACCACCTTCTTTGCATACACACCTTTTGATTATCCTTGGATAACTGTTATTCTTACTTTTGCTGAATAGGTTTTAAAAAATTCTCCCCTGATCCTCCTCCAGACTCAGATTTCAAGCTCTACTTTCTATTATTTTACTATTCATGATGCTCACATTATAGCTGACCCTTGAACAAAATGGGCTTGAACTGTGCAGGCACACTTATGAAGGGATTTTTTTTTTTTTTAAACAGCATTGTCAAATGTATTTTCTTTTCCTCGTAATTTTAACTACATTTTCTTTTCTCTAGCTTACTTTATTGTAGGAAGACAGCATATAATACATATAACATACAAAATATTTGCTAATTGACTAAATTATTCATAAGACTTCTAGTTAACAGTAGGTGATTAGCAGTCAAGTTTTTGAGTCAAAGTTATTTGCAGGTTTTCAACTGCATGGTCAGTGCCTCTAACCCCTATCTTGTCCAACAGTCAACTATAGAAGTCATACTTCAGTCTGCATCTTTAATCAATATATCAAATTTAAGTAACTATGCCTTTCTAAATGAGAAAAACTTCATAAATCTAAATAATTTATGTTATGCACAGAAGCTTAGAACATTTACACATGAATAGATGCTCAAATCATTAGTCACCAGTAAAATGTAAATCAAAACCACAAGATACTACCTTCACACCCACTAGGATAGGTCAAATAAAAAAGAGAACACATTTTGGCAAAGATACAGAGAAATTAAAATCCTCATATATTGCTGGTAGGAATGTTTAAATGATGCATAGCTGACTTGACAACAGTCTGGCCAACTCCTGAAAGGATTAAACCTAAGTTATCATTTGACCCAGGAATTCCACTCCCACAAAAGTAAAAACATGTCCATGCAAAAACTGATACAAATCTGGCATTATTCGTAATAGTCAAAAGTGAAACAATCCATATATCTACACACTGATGAATGGATAAATAAAATGGGACAGATTAATACAATGGAATACTTGGCAATAAAAAGTAATGAAACACTATCACATGCTACAATACACATGAACCTTGAAAACATGCTACATGGAAAAGGTCAGTCATTAAAGACCACATACTGTACAGTTCCACTTATATGAAACACTCAGGACAGGGAAATAGGTTAGGGACTGCCTATGGGAAAACAGGAAGACACAATGGGGAGAAGTGGGAAGTATCTGCTAACAGGTACAGAGTTTCTTTCTGGCATTAAACGTTCTGGATAAAAACGTTTTAAAATTGTGCTAACGGCTGCACTTCTCTCTGGATATACTAAGATGAACTGTACACTTTGTCTACGATAAACTCGCTTTATTTTTTCTGAATTGTACACTTTCAATGAATTGACATATGA